TATATATATATATATATATATATATATATACTTTAAGGATATACATATATATCCTTAAAAAAAGTAAAAAAGAAATGGTGAAATTAATTTTAACAATACTTTTTCAACTCAATATATTTGATATATTATCATTTTGGATATCATCAATAAGTCATATTTGGATCATGTCATCAATATACAAAATTTATTAAGGAAATATTTGACATTCTTTTTTGTACTAAGTCCTTGAAATCAAATGTGTATTTTACACTTTTCAGCACATCACAATTCACATTAGCCACATTTCAACTGCTCAGTAGCAACATGTGGGTGGTAGCTATGGTGCTGGCCAGCACAGCACTAGCTCGTTATAACCCATCTCCGTGGGACTGTTCCATTGGCACCTCAAGCCAAAGTCAGTATCTCCCCTAAACTCACAGAACCATGTAAAATTTAACTGAGGAGGCCCCAAAGGGAATTAAAAAGGCCTGGGGCAGCAAGAATATAGGTGCCCAGGAACCGTGCTCCTGAAAGGGCCTGATTTCAGTCTCTTTAGTTGTACTTTGCACATAAATCTAAGGAACTCAGTGGTCTGGTCTCCCAGTGTACAGCTAATTAGGAGGGGAAGGGACTGGCAGTTAGAACAGGAACCCTGCCAGGTATAAGATGTGGCAGCTGCCAGCAAGAAAGGGAGAGAAGAGACTCAGCTGTCGAGACCCTAAAGGCTAAAGCACCCACTACACCAACGCCCTAACCCACACCTATATTCATCCACATCAACACCGAGGCTAGACACGGGCATCCAGATAATAACCCAGAGTGTTCAAGACATAAGTGGCCCTCCAACTCCTTGTTGCCATAAGCAAATACGTTCTAATTTAGAAAACTGTCCAAATTAGTTAAAACACACACACACACACACACACACACACACACACACCATCGCTGCCGCCACCACCACCACCACCACAACCACCAACAAAACCCACCCAACTATGTGGATTTTAAACAGCTAAGCTTTGGCTAACCTGTAACTGTGAAGTAATAGCCTTTGGAGCCTGGCTCATCTGGATTCAAATCCTGGCTTTGCCACTTACAACCTATAAAAGTGAGCTTCAGTTTCCTCATCTGTAAAATGGGTTCAACAGTAACACCTACTCTCAAGAGGTTATGAATATTAAAATATATATAATTTATTAAAAGTGCCCAGCACTAGACCTTCAAGTAGGACTAGCCAATAAATAGTAGCAATTGTTATTCTAACAATGTCAGTCTTTGTCTACCACACATCTTCCCCTGGTATAAGCCTTGCTCTACACTGATGTATAATACTAGCTTCAAGTTCCCAACATCAGGTGTCAGGCATTGGCATGAAATTACTCTTTGGGGGTGGGGACTCTCATTTCTCATCCTTAACAGGTGGTATTTCACATGAGCACCGTGAGACTTGACAGAGGGACAGATGGGCCATGAAAAACGACCATCACCTTGGTTGCATCGCCCCCACCCCCACGCCATCCTTCATCCAATCAAGCTATTGATCTGTGGGCGCCGTCTCCTCGAGAAAGGTCACAGTGGGTGTCTGAGGCGTGATCCTGCAAGAAAATGCCTTCCCCACAGGATCCCCTAGGAATGACAAGTATCTAGTGTTCATGTTCTGCTTCCAGTTCTGAGGTTCAAGGTGTTTCACCTGAACCCCCTCTGAAATCAAAGGATGCCAGAATCAGAAAGGCTTTGTCTGACCCCTCAGTAAAAGATAGGGTAACTGAGGCACACAGAGGTGACGCATACTGTTCTCAGCAAGCCCGGAGCAGGGCCCAGGGAGAATGTGGGTTTCCTGCCTCCTGGTCCAGTCGCTAGAACCTCTGCCTTCACCCTTTTGCTACTGAGCTTTCTTCTACAGTGGAGACTCAGGGCTCCCAGCTTCTAGTGAGGCAGAGAAAGGTAAAATTCAGAAAACCTGAGGCCAGAGAGACCAGAGACAACTAACCAGGTATGAACTTTACAAAAGGCTGAGTTCAGAACTCAGAAGTACTGACTGGTCACAAGGTTTGTTCTCATCCAATTTCCATTAATCCAATTCCATTGAACAGATATTTATTGACCACCTACTATGTGCTGGGCACCCATCTAGAATCTTTGGACACATCAATAAACAAAACAAAGACCCTGTCCCTCATGAACCTTTATATTCTAGTGGAGGAGATAAGGAATAAAAAGGAGATGTATATTAGATGATCATAAACTCTATAGACAAAGATTAGGAGTTAGGTGGGGTTTTGTTTGTTTGTTTTTTCAATTTTAAAGAGTTACTGGGGTAGGCCTTATGGAAAGGACGCTAGAGCAAAGATTAGAGAGATGTGAGGGAAGCCAGGACTCGGTTGGTATGTTCAAGGAGGGCCAGAGTGGCCAGAAGGGAGGGATGAGCGAGCAAGCAACGGGGAGAAGCAGGAGATGAGGTCAGAGGGGTCACAGGAAGGGTACAGATTATGCAGGCCCCCCAAGCAGAAGAGGGATGTGCATACTCTGGTTAATGTGCTGAAATAAGCAGAAGTGGTGATGACGGATCCAGGGACATCCAGGCAGGAGGTGAGACGGTGGAGGCTTGGACCAGGTTGGCAGCAGTGGGAGTAGTAAAGAGTCAGATTCCAAATATGAAGGTAGAGCTGGCAGGATTTGCTGACAGGTTGGATACGGGGTGTAAGGGAAGGAGCAAGGTCAAGGACAACACCGAGGTTTTGAGTCAGAGGAACTGGAAAAATGAAGTTGCCACCAACTGAATTGGGGGAGGCTGTACGTGCTAGGGAGGGAAAGCCAGAATGTTAGTTTGCATGTGTTAAATCTGAGTTACCCAGCACACACACCTAGGTGGAGACAGACATCAAGTGGACTCCTAGATAGACCAGTCTGGGTTCCAGGGAGAGGTCTGGCTGGAGGTACCCATCACAGGGATGGGATTTAAGGCATGGGCCTGGTGAGATCACCAAGAGAATGAGTGTGAACAAAGAAAAGAGCAGGGCCAAGGAGGGAGCCCTGGCATGAGGAGGAGCCTGGGAAAGACACTGGGGAGGAAGGAAAGAAAATGAAGGCTGTGTGAGAGCTTTAGCTCGGCTCCCTTCCCTCCTTCCTCACACAAAGGAACCTGATAGAGTGCCTACCCTCTGTACAAGGTTATCTGGGTCCTAGACCAATCCTGCCTAGAGAAGACCCGCAGAAGAGGCAGCATTGGGGCGCATGTGGAAGGACAGGCAGGATTTTCTTAATCAAAGGAGACGCTGGGTATGCCAGGCAGAGGGAACAGAATATGCAGAGGCCCAGCGGTGGTTAGACGCAAGCCCTCTGGGAGTATGGTCAAGAGTCCAGTCTGGCAGGGATGCAGAATTACAGGATAAATCAGACCTGGGGGTTCCTCCTCCGGGTTAAGTTTCTCTTTCTAACCAGAACCCAGCATGGGTGCGGCTGGTGTGGACCCTCTGCTGCCTCATGAGGCCCTGTGGCTGCGTGTGAACCTTCCCTTTCTCAGTATCACAAAGCCCAGGGTAATACCCTCTCTGCCCAGGACCTCTTGGCAATTTGCTATGCATGAGCATAACTCAAATGCAGAATAGCCTTTGAGCCAAGATGCCAAGAGTTAAACTGACGGTGGGGAACCACAGTGACAGGAAGAGGAGATTTTTAACAGTTTCTGGTGATAGAAATCATCCCTAGCCAGCCCCCATTACTAGTTTGTATTTTCTCTCTCTATTTTAATTAAATATCTGTCACTCACACATTCATGCTGCTGCTCCCATGTCAGCTATATAGAGCTTAAATGAGAGGGGGTATTGGGAGGAGCACTGGACTAGGAGTCAGGAGCTCTGATCTCCACTCCTGGCTCTGCCATTAACTGGAGGTGTGACCTTGGGTAAGTCCCTTCCCCTCGCTGGGCCTCAGTTTCTCCATCTGTAGAGTAAGAGTACTGCACCAGTTAGGAAAGTGCCTTCTGCTCTGGCCAACTACAGAGTATTAAATGCGTGGCTCTTCTTCTGATGTCTCCTGATATCCCCTTCTTTGATCCGAGTCTGTTTCAACAGCAGTTCACTATATTCCCCCTGGAACTCTCATAGCCATATGTTCCAAGAGTAATTATCTTCCAATTTCACCTCCCAATCGCATCTTAATTTAACTTTCATTCCTGGGTGCCTGCTGGAATGTCCAAGCCAAGCTTGACGATTTCTAATTAGGCTGCTGTTAAGCTAGTCCAGTGATCCACAACAGGGCACATACTGGGCAGACTGCATGGGACGAAGTTGGAAAAGCATGGGCCCCAGGCTCAGACAGACCTGGGCTCCAATCCCAGCACTGGTACATATCAACTGTGCCATCTTGGGCATGTCACTTTGCCTCGCTGAACCTGAGTTTCTTTCTTGGCAAAATGAAATAAATACCTCCTTTTTCTCTAAGGCTGTTGAGAAGTTCGAAAGAAATAATAGAAGACACCTCAATTAGAGGCCAACAGAAACTCAATTGGCCATCATTTCTTGTGCATCTACTATGTGTTCAGCACTGCATAAAAAAGTAGGCTCTCAAGCTGGACAGTCTGTATTTCAATCCTATCTTGGCTCAGTGACCATAAAATCCCTGCAGCTCAGTTTTCCAACCTATAAAATGGGGATAGCAAGAGTACTCACCTCATAAGTTACTGTGAAAACTGAACTGATACAAGTAAAACACTTAAAAGCCACACCTAGTTCATAATAAGTGACCAATAAATGTTAACCAGTATTCATTAGTGGCTTATGACAGACACTGTTCCAGATACCTTATGAGCTTTATTTAATCGAACTCGATGACAAAGATCATACCATCTCCATTTTTCAGATGAGGAAACTGAGGCACCGAGGTTAAGTAACCTCCTCAAGGTCACCTAAGTATATGGTGGTTCTGAAATTCATTCCCACGGAGTCTGTGGACCACTATGTTACATGATCAGGAAATTCCGAGCATGGCACACAGAAATCATTATGTGAGGTTTCCATCATTGCTATCACACTGAAAAAGTAACCAGGTTTATGCTGGAGGCAAGTTCTAGGACTGCTAAACCCAAGAGCAGCAACTGCTAAGATTTCCTGGGTCCAAGCCTGCCTCCAAGTTTATTCCTGCTCACTTCATCCCCCATATTCTCAGGGAGGGGAGGGCTTGCCCAAGCCTCAAGCAGGGAAACGTGGGAAAACTGGAACTGCTCTCACCATTGTTTTAAAGTGGGTTTTATTAGGAGTGTAGGAAAAAGCTAGCCTGTCCGGCTCTGTTCAGGCTGTGCCAGAAACAGGCTGGAGGCCACCTTCTTCCTCCAAGGAGTGGCTAACTGAACACTGGGACCCCGCTCCAGCCTCTTCCACTCCCAAAGTGGCACCCCTACTCCCACCCCACCCCCATTCTGACCCACTCCCTCACTGTCCAGGCATCCACATGCCCAGCAACAACAGTGCCTGGCTACATGAAGGCAGCTACCACACTCCCAAGTCCCCTTTGTCAAATCAGTCCAGCCAAATGTCTCCCTTCTGTACCTCCTAAGACAATGACTTTTTTCATTAAAAAGTCTTTAAAAAGAAAAAGCCACAACACACACATACAAGGCAGCAGGATATGGTTCTAAGACAGCCAAAATGGTGGCTTCCTGTTTCTTTAGGGATGTGTGTTTTGGAGTATGGCTTCGGACAAGGGTGTTGGTCAGAGAGAGGGCTGCCTTCTGCTAAATTTTAAGAGAAAAAGAAAAAAAAAGAGTGACTATCCCTCCTTGGCAGGGAAATGAAGTTAGCTGAGATTGCTGGCTTGCAAGCTCGCCTCTTCAGGGAACTTTCTGCCCTCCGGGTGGATGGAGTCAGGAATCCTGAGACCGGTTCCAGGCATCGCCCATGGGAGTCTCAGTTACTAAATCTGTTAAATGGCACTCCTCGGAAGGGATTGCTAATATTTACTATCAAACGCATTCTGGATTTCCCGGAATCCCTGAACTGGCAGAGTCAGACTCGAGGGACGGAGGGAAACGTCTAGAGTGCGGCTCAGCCTCAGCGGCGAGGAGCGTCCCCTTGGCATGTGGTCCCCTGGGGGAGGCACAAAGAAGGCCCCGGGCCAGGGCGCGGCGAGGGAAGGGTACGCTGTGGGGGACAATAATTTAGAGCTTTCTAGTCTGATCCCCAGAGTGAGCTCTAAGTCTCGGGGTCTAAGAGAGAGGAGGGAGCAGGAATCGTCTTAAGAGTGCGCCGCCAGGTACTGACGGACCAGGAATAGACCCCGGGGTGGCGAAGAGCTGCGGGAGGATCCCGGGGCCCTGGAGGGACCTCCGAGGGGCCAGCGAGGATCTGGCAGGGACCCAGAGGGGCCGGAGCGAGGTTTCAGGGGTGCGATCAAGTCGCCTTCGCGAAGGGAGCCTTCCTCGCTTGCCAAGCGGTCCCCCACGCCGGGGTGGCCGTGGGAGCGGGATGACGGAGTACACCGCCAGGGTGCGGCCTCGCGGAGACGGAGGGAGCGTCCCTGAGGCGGGGCGTCTCGGACCGGGGCCCCCGATGATCCTCAGCCTCCTCGGCGAGGGGACTCCGGACCCGCCCATATCTCAGCGGCGGCCGAGCAGGGCGGGAAGGTCGGGGGATTTTCGGCGGCTCGCTCCCGGCGCCCCGTGGGCTCCAACTTGGAGCGCCTGGCGCGGTCCCCTCGCGCGCGTCCCTCGGCGCCCGAGGTCGAGCGGGCCTCCTACCTGCTCTGTTCATCTTCCAGCACGCGCAGCCCGGGGCCGCCCGTCGGTCAGTCAGTCGGTCAGTCCCAGCGCGAGTCCGCGCGCCGCCTCACTCCATGGCCGCCCCGCGGGGCCCGCACTCCCAGGCGCCCGCCCCGCCCCCCCTTCCCCCCCGGCGCGCGCCGGACTCCGCGCGGCGCGCAGGGCAAGTGGGGGCGCGGGGCGCGAGCCTCCGGGCTGGGCGGGGCGGACAGGGGCGGAGGGGGGAGGAGAGGGGGCACGAGCACGGGGCGCGCGGGGCGGCGGCCGGGACGGCG